TCCATCCATCCATCCATCCATCCATCCATCCATCCATCCATCCATCCATCCATCCAACAGTGTTTTACATCAGCAGCGTTCAGTTGATCTCTGAGCTGACAGATCTCGGCAGCTCTCAGACTTTGTGCGTTTTGCACTGACTAAAGACGAGCTGCTCATGACTGCAAGTCTGTAAACCACCGAGCTCTCCAACATGGTAAGAGCTTTTCTCCTGACGCATGTTGCATCATTTACAGAACCAACAAGCATGCGTTGACTTCATTCAGTGTTTGTTTCTGGAAACTGTGAGGGCTTATGAAGCGGGTTGTTCTCGTGTCTCTGACGCTCTGCAAGACATTCAAGTGCAAAGTCACGCAGCACGTACAGCTGCCGTGGTTTCTGTGTGGGAGGTGATGCCAGGAAAGAGTCGAATGAAGCAGCAGAGACGCCCTGCCAATCGGTTACTGGAACTCACGCTGACCAGTTGCTTTCTCATTTCACATGTTATTTTTCATGCAGTTGATGATGATGAGGAAGATTTGAGAATCCAAATAAGCAGGTTTTATCTCGCTCTACTTTAATCGACAGGGATACGAAGTTGGTTCCAAACTGTAATAAACTGAAAGCTCAGATAAAAAGCAGAGGAAACCCCAGAGTTTGAACACACTCACGGTTTGTGCAAGTATCCCAGCAACACGAGGGCGAGGACGAGAATGATGGGCATGGAGATGTACAACCACAAAACACTCATTCCTGGAAAGGACGAGAACGTGAAGAACACGGATGACTCTGAAGCTGGTTTCAGCAGAAGTTATTTTTAAATAACGCCGTTTCACCTCGCTCACCAACAGAAGCTGCTGCCGTCATCCATTCGGCACCAGAACTCCATTCGCTCCACGGGCCCTGAAGATAATGATCAAACCTCAGTTTGGTCTGGACGTCTACGATGTAGATGACGTCCTCCTGCAGCAGTTTGCGATTCACCAGAACGTGCACGTCCTCTGTAGACAAGTACAGGGGGTCCTGTTTGGAGCAAACGGAAAGCAACGTCTGAACGGGAGCGTTCCGCAAACACTTCACGACGAAAACGTTTTTTCTTTTTACCTGCGAGGAAGCTGCAGCGGCTCTGATGCGGACCCTGTAGGTGAAGTCGTATAAAGTGTTGCTGCTCCTCCAGCTGATGTTGACCGACTCAGCCATGTCGGTCACGCTCACACCAACCGGAGGTTCAGGTTTCACTGAGACCGGAGGGGTCAGAGAGAAAACGTGTTTACTCCTGCAGTTCTTCACACCAGAAATAGCAGCTAAATAATATTTTTAGCTTTTTATTTTGGTGCTCTGAAAGGAAAAGCAGGTGAGTGGAGCCTGCAACACTTTTTTTTTTTTAGATTTTCATGCTAAACTAAACATAAAAAACTTTTAAATTAAGATGAGTTGTTTTAGTTGAACCTACCCACTGCAGACAGCTCCCAGCTGAATGAATCAACGGGATCCGTAAACGGTCGGAGCCGAGTGAGCGTGACGCAGTTTGTTCCCAGGAGGGCGACTTCGTCAAGGTCCTTCTGGATGATGGTGCACCAGGAGCGCGGTGGTTCGACCACACAGCTGCCACTAACGTTTACGTCTCCATTACTGCACAGAAAATGGTTCACAACGGAGCTTTTTAAGCTCTTTAAATCATAAACAAAATTAATATTACACTCTCTATACACTTTGAAACAATTATCGTATTTTCCGCCGTACACGTTGCATCGTCCTATAAGTCACATCAGTCCAAATATGTCTAATAAAGTGGAAAAATGCGTAAATACGTCCCTTCGTCGTATAAGTCGCATCTATTATGCATCACCGCTGACGTGTCGCGTTTGTTACGCGTCACCACTGACAACCTGGAAATGTGGGGCGGTGCCAAAAACCGACTGGCTGCCAGATGGCGGCCGCGGGAGCGTGCACAGTAGGAGTTCAACAAGAATTTAACTAGATTAACACTTAAAAACAATTATTTGTTTGCTCAAAATTAGTAAAGGTGTGTCTCAGTCTAACTTTTGCTTAATAAATGCACTTCAACAGTCAAATCAGCCGCATTTCAAAAGTATTAGCTGCCTCGGTGTTCCAGGAGGGCGCAGACAGGGAGGAAATCAGGAAGGAGGAACCCTGTGCATTTCTTCGAAATTTAACAAGATAATTACCTAAAAACATTTATTTTTTTGCTCTAAATTATAGTAAAGTTGTGTCTCAGTTGAACTTTTACTTAATTAATGCACTTCAATGGTCAAATTAGCTGCATTTCGCCGGGGCGGTGCAGAGAAATGAAGCTGATTTGACGGTTGCTCCAAGCGAGCAGAATGAAGGTGGCTCTGTATGGCAAGCCGATTGAGTCGTTAATAGCCACTTTTACCTATTACATGCCACAACGGCATGCCATACCACTCGAGTGCCATCTAGCGACTGAAAATAGTAGTGTTCAATATTTTCAGTTAGAATAAATGAAAACGGTCATATCTCAGCCAAAAATTGGTTTATAAATATTTGAAAAAAACAAATACTGTATGTCGCAGGGCATGCAAATTATGCAAAAAAAACGCGACTCATAGGGCAAAAATACATTTATTATAAGTTATTTTTTAAATCTTAACACTAAAATAGACTCTGCTGAAATGAGTTTGTGTACCGTATTTTTTGGATTATAAGGGACACCTGATTATAAGGCGCATTAAGCGAAACTAAAACTTCTTACAGATTTTTGAGCTCCGTGTACCACATAAAATCGGTTCGAGGTCATTAAGCACAGCTAGAATTAATACATTAGGAGCACCGGATTATAAGGCTCGTTGATTTTTGAGAAAACTTAAAGGATTTTAAATACGCCTTATAGTCTGAAAAATACAGTAATTCTGAGTGGAAAACAAGAATCCAGTCTCACTTCACAAGATGAAAATCAGTTTCTTTGTGTTTTTTATCTACATTGAACATATTTTCAGTGTAATTCACTCAGTTGGAGTGCTGTTTTTTTGTGGCTGCACATTTTATGGTGTTAGCGGATGGAAACGGGGTTATTGTTCCAGTAAATGGAGATTTTGGAGCTTGTTCAAGTCTAATTGCCTGAGCAGGTTCAAGTTCCTCATCTGACATCAAGTCAAAGTAAACAGTAAAACAGTGAAGAAGCTGAACGTGAAAAGAAGTTGGAAACATTTGGTCCATAGGCTCCTAATCTTTGTATATTCTAACCCACAAAATAAACTTGGTAAAGACCTTTGACCTTTGACCTTTGACCCCAACTACTGCTGAAGTAATAGAACAATCACAATAATAATAATAATTCTACCGTTTTATCCTTTTGGTTTTAATTTCTTGCAACAATCATTGTGAAAGCATGCGGTTAGAGAGCTTTGTATAGTTTTATTTTGCTTTTTAAAAAAAAAAGGCCCCCCCCCCCCCCCCCCAATCATTTGGTATTTCATGACTCGCACAGCGGAGTCCCAACCCTGACTTTAAGAACCGCTAATTGAAACAACTAACTGTTAAATTAATCTCTGAACAGTCTGCTCCAGCTGTTTTCCACAGTTTCTGCACAATCTTTACATCGGGAGATTTTATGCCTGACTTGAAGGAGGTGCTGCAGGAGGTGCTGCAGGAGGAGCGTCGAAAGCGCGAGTCTTTCAGTCGTGTCGAAGGAAACGTCTCGGGAATGTTTCAAGGTTCTGCTGAGAGGAGGAGTAACATCGTCGAGCTCTTGGTCGAATCACAGAACTGAGTGGAGAAACTCTGCAAGAAGTTCAAAACTAAAGCAGATATATTTTCTCGTGTCTCCTTCCACCGAGGGAATGTTTCAGAACTGCAGTGCATGCTCGGCCCTGGTCCACAAGCTTTGGTCCTCACATATAGAACATATTTATTCTTTGTTTGTTTGTTTGCATAACGACAAAGAAAATATGTTTTTTCCAGCCTTATTTAGTTTTAGACAGATTTAAATTTATAGATATTTTTCCCTTTCTGCATTAATGAGCTAAATGAACCATTTCCATCCAAAGAATGCATTTTGTTTGGAGACAAGTTTAACATCTTTAACGTGCATGTTGGTTGATGACGACAAAACGACTTTTACCTGCACGTGACGTCCAGACAGACAGGATGTGCTGGCACGGAGCTCGAGCACGAGCAGTTTAGTGTATCTACGTAGTTGGTTGAGCAGGTGACATTGCACAAAGACGCAACTGCAAACAAGAAAAACAAGGTCACCCGCAGAAGCTGCAACTTCTTCATGAATCTTTTCCTTGATTGTTCAGGGAGAAAAACAAAGTTCCTAAAGGTGAACTTTGGTTTACATTTAGGAAACAAAAGTCACCATTCCAGAAATTTACAACCCCAGTGATAAAATGAGAAATTAAAAACAGTTAAATTAATGCAACACTTTTCTAATCTCATTAAACCATATTAATCTGGTGATGCCATGACCCTCTCAGACCCCCCCCCACCCCCCCAATCTACCACAAACAGTCTCTGACCCGTGGTGTCCGTTTACAGCCAATAACAGAAATTAAACCAAACCAGAACAAGAAAATAATAAGAAAATCTCTTTTTCATACTCAGAAACATCGTAAACAATCAGAAACATTGCACACTCGATGCCTACCCAGCATGCTTTGCAACGCTCCCACTGTTTCTGGGACGTGACTTGCTCACATTTCACACATCTTTACTTTAAAACAGATTTAATACCGAGAGAATTTTAATGGTGATGCGCAGCAACTCTGTAGTTGGTTTATAAAAGTAGCTAACCACAAAGAGGATCGTTAGTTAATTAATAATTATTAATTAATAATTCTACCTGGATTATTGAGCATGCATCAGGATGTTAGAGTTAATTCATTAAAATAAATGACACGAGGGAGACGTCTGACACACATTGAATGCATCACTCTGCTTCTCTCAGACTTCAACTTTCAAAAACTTCCAGTGCAGCTTTAGGTCTGAGCCCAGGTCAGCTCCACTCCTTCATTCATGTGACCCAAACATCTCTCCGAACCAGACAAAGAGCCCGACAAGCCTCCGCTGCGAGGGCGAGTAGTTCCAGTCTAACCTGCAGCTGAATCTAGGAACACAACCAGACCTCTCATGCAGTTCTATAAAGTCTGGATCACACTCCAGACATTGTAGAATTGATGAAGCCTCCAGGACGGGGAGTGAAACGTCTCCAGCTTCGGAATAGAAACCCAATTGTTTTTGTTTTTTAACCGCCTTTTTTTTTTTATCATGACCTGGATGACCGAATCTTCACAAGCGTCACGCCGCTCCAGCACAGCGGAGTTCTGCTTCGCCTCTTTGGTTCTGATGGACCGGATTAATTTCTGAAAGCTCACCTCTGAATGGGACGTGGACGCTTTACCTGTGATTTCTGAACAGTTTTGAGTCGTGTTCACTTACGCCGTCACATTACACAGTCTTACAGAGTCAGCGACAGCAGAGGATGATAAAAGTTAGCACTTTAGCCTCTGATAATTTTTTTATCTGTTTAGCATTAGCAAAGCAATTTTTTTTTTAGTTATCAACTTATCGATTAGCAAAGCTAACTTTTTGGTTAGCTGAACCCCCCACTGACCTCTAGCATGGTCAGCGTACGCATCTAGAAAGGCTCCATCAGTGCAAAAACGTATCTACAGGCTTAGAACATCTGCTCCCATCCAGCAACAAGAGCAACGAAAACCCAGAACTGTTGAACACCTAGAATCCTCCATCAGACCCAAATGGGACGAGATTCCCTCCAAAAACCCCAACTGGTCATTAGTGTTTACAAACTGTTGATAAAAGAAGAAATGCTTCACAGAGGGAAACATGTTTTCCACAACGTTCCACCCTTTAGGAACTGAGGTTGTAACTCGTTTTAAACGAAACGTGCTAAACGGTGATTTAGCTTCAAAAACGTTGATAAAATGTAAGTTCGGTTAAAGCAGCTTACCGTCATGAACATACAGAGTGAAACCCCACAGCGCGAGTAAGAACGCACGTTCAAGAGCCATGGGGAGACTCACTGTTACCAGGCAGATCGGGGAAAACAGCAGCTGAAACCAAACCACGATACACGTCTATCAGTCATTTGGTGGTAAATGAAAATGTATTTAGAATAAGCATAACCGTATTTGTGGCTAAACCGGAACAAAGGTTGATTATTAAAAACAAGACAAGGGCTGAAAAAGTTTGTTTCAGTCTAAAAATCAACTATTAGGTAACAAACACATAAACCTTTAACACAGATTAAAAAGAACAGATGAAAATATACATGAAACCAGCGAACATCTGAGACAATCAGCATTTCATGTTTTAACACTTGTCCTACCTCGTGTCGTAAGTCCCCCAAGTCTTCAGCGAAGGAGGTAAGGCAGAGACTGAAAGCCTGAGGTCTGAGCTCGGAGTGGAAGAACGCTCCCGCAGCAGCGTCATCGGTTCGATGGGGCAGGATGTGGTTTCAGAGCAGCGAGTGTAATGTGGTCCAGGCCCACCGCAGCCACCTTCCTGCTATGAATATGCAGCAGCTAATCATGCTATTTAAAAGAGTCAACAGGAAACTGAAATTGTTTTGAGCAAAATGTGGTCAGTCATTGTGTTTGGTTCACCTTTACTGGAGACGAACAGGCGGATAACGATAGTTTTTGGAAACTGTCCCGCACAGAGACAAACAATCATTCACACCATTTAAGAATGACCAATTAACTTAACACGCATGTTACTGAGAGGTAAAGGAACTACAGGAGTACAGGGAGAACATGTAAACTCCACCTGAAAAGGTCCCAGACCGGGAGGCAATCTGGAAGCCTTCTCTCTGAGAAGCGACGACTCTAACCACTGCTGCACCGTGCCGCCTGATTCCTGAAATCATTTATTTATAAAAATCAGTTTTACCTCAAATCTTCATGGGAATGAACCAATGAGTCTGATAAATCTTTCCTGGAGCTTTCTCCTAATCTTCTTGGCAACAACTGCTTACTGTCTCCATCTCTGACGAGCTGTTGGAAAGGCTGGAATAATTCCAAAACTTCTTGGTCTTGCTTGGCAGAGTTCTTCAGGAACAAAGTTTGGAACAGTTGGTTCCCCGTACCACAGAACGTACTCCTTCTTTTATCACCGCTGCAGTCTATAAAAACACTGTAACGCTCTCCTTTCATGAAACTGACTCGAACATGTAGTTTGTGTACTTTTAGTTGACAACTGCACATTAAGGCTGGTCCACAAGGTCAATGGTAAATGGACTGTATTATATAGCACCTTTCCATCTTATCAATACACTCAAAGCTCTTTACAACAATCTGTGCCTCATTTATCCATTCATACATCACTCTACCAGATCTATACAGAGCTAATTGAACAAATCATTCTCAAGAGACTAATCTGAGCTTTAGATCACATTCATGCACCGATGGGACACACATCAGATGCAATGAGGGGTTCAGTGTCTTGCCCAGTGACACTTCAGCATATGACTGCTGGTGGATTCAAACCCCCAACTCTTGCATTGGAAGACAACTGCTCTAACCACTCAGCCACAGCTGCCCAAGAGACTCCAAAGAGACTGTGGACCGGACTGAGTTCATCAGAACCTTAAATAAGCTTTAGTGAAGCCACACGTGTGTTAGCTTGATCTCCAACCAAATGTTTTTGGATGGATGGATGGATGGATGATAGATGGATGGATAGATGATAGATGAACAAATGGATGGATGGATGAATAGATGGATGGATGGATGAATAGATGGATGAATAGATGGATGGATGGATGAATGGATAGACAGATGGATAGATGGATGGCTAGATGATAAATGAACAAATGGATGGATGGATGGACAGATGGATAGATGATAGATGATGGATGGGTTGACGGTTAGATGGATGGATGGATAGATGGATAGATGGATGAATGATGGATGATAGATGGAAAGACAGATGAATGAATGATGGATGGACAGATGGATAGATGATAGATGATGGATGGGTTGACGGTTAGATGGATGGATGGATGGATAGACAGATGGATAGAAGGATAGATGGATGATAGACAGATGGATGGATGGATGATAGACAGATGGATGGATGGATGATAGATGGATAGACAGATGGATG